GTCTTCCCTTTCTTTCAACCTCCACATTTAATCAGATGGTGAGTCACATTGATACCACCTCCACGTATCTTATGTATGTCATTTCTCCCCTCATGCTGTTCTAGCCCAGATTCTCTCACTTGGACTATATTACACTAGCCTAATTGATATTTCTACTTCCCTGCTCCTTTCCCCCCTCCCCACTCCCTGCAATGGCCTCTAAACAGTTAACAAAATAATCTCACTAAAAGCACAGGACCACATCCCTTCTCTGCTCAAGCATCTTCATTGACTCCCCATTCTCTCTGGGATGTCATACCTCGGGCAACCTTCACTAGCTGAAGACTACCCTTCAAAGAGCAAGTCAATTGACAAGCATCTATTATGTGCCAAGCACTGTACTAGGCACTCAGTATACAAAAAATATACATAACAATAATACATCTATATATTTATATTTTATTTCTATACACACATATATATGTGTACGTACATATATGTATACATGCATACATGTGTACACACACACACACACAAACTCTACATCACTCCTTGCCCTCTCCCTTTCAGCAGAACTTACTTCAGACTTCACTGGGAAAATGGAAGCCGTTCACATATATATAAACACACACATGTATACACATATATGTATATATGCTATACGTAGATATACATGACCTCATATACACACATGCATGTATACATACACACTCATTTTGTATATGTGTAAACATACACACATGCAGATACATATGCATGCATACATGTGTTTTGTATCTATACATACATAGTATGTGTGTGTGTAATGTATATATATGTATATGTGTGTATACATACATACATATATGGGCTATGTCTTAAAGCAAAAAGACTCTGTGAGGCAGAGGTAAGGAGGGAGTGCATTCCAGGCACATGGGACAGCCAATGCAAAGATATGAAGACCAGACAGTATTATGTGTGATGAAGGATCACAGAGTTCAAGGGCAGGACCGTCCAGGGAAGCTGGAAAGGTAGGTTGGGGCTAGGTTGCATAGGGCTTTAGAAGCTAAACGAAGTAGTTTCCATTTGACCCTGGAGGCAGCCATTGAAGTTAAGGGATTTAGGGAGTCAGTCACATGGTCAGATCTACACTTAAGGAAGATTACTTTGGCAGCAGTATGCAGGATGGACTGGAGGCAGTAAGACTAGGTAGGAGGCTGTTGCCATGATCTACATGAGAAGAGATGGAGGTCTGACCCAAAGCGGTAGCTGTGTGAATGGAGAGAATGGGTTGGATGGAAGTGATATCGTGGAGGTAGAAACCTTAAGAATTGGCAATTGATGGGATAGGAGGGGTGGGGGAGAATGAGGAGTTGAAGAGATTCCTGAGGTCATAAAGGCTCACCCCAGAGATTAGAAGGATGGTGATGTCTGGACAGAAATAGGGGATTTTGGAAAATGGGAAGGTTTGGTGGGGGAAAAATAAGTTCAGTTTGGGGCACGTTGAGTTTGTAATCCAATTTAAAATGTCCAATAGAGTACTGGTGATGCAGGGCTGAAGTTCAGAAGAGAGACTGGATAAGTGGAACTGGGGTCATCTTCATAGAGATAATTGTTGAAACCAACGGGAGCTAATGAAGTTACCAAGAAGGTGCAGTGCCAGTCAACAAGCATTTCTTAAGTGTTTAATATGCACCAGGCACCATGCTAAGCACTGGAAAGAGAAAAGGCCTAAAACGGAACCTTGGGGAACACTCACAGTTATGGGGCATGATATGGAGCAGAGGAGACTGAGGGATGGTCTGAGAGAACCAGGAGAGACCAGAGAGAGCACCTAGGGTGATCAAAGTGTGAAATGCAGTCAGTATATATGTCCAAAAGGTTGAGGCCTGAGAGACGATCCAAATCGGCAATCACCGGTAACTTGGGGAAAAACGAGTTCAGGGATGAGCTTGGAAGTCAGTCTGCAAAGGGCTGAGGAGTCAGTGACAGGAAAGGAAGGGGAAGAAGCAAGTATAGACATCTTTTTCAAGAGTTTGGCTGGGAAACAGAGGTGAGATACAGCATGATTGTCTGAAGGAACAGCGGAGGTTTTTTAAGGATACAGGAGACTTTGGCATGTTGGAAGGCAGTAAGGAAAGGAGCCAGTTAAAGTTTAGAGAGGTGAGGATGCTTAAAGATGCCAGAGGAGAAAACAGGAGGGTTGGCCACACTGAGGACTACCACTGTCTCTGACAGATTGGTTGAGAAAGTGGAATTGGCATCAAGGGGTTTTCAGGTGAAGAGAGTGGGAGAAGAGGGAGCTCCCCATCAAGTGGCCTCAGTTTTCTCAGTAATGGGTGAGAAGGGAAGGAGGAGAAAGTGTGGGAAAGTTGAGGAGGAAAGAAGTTTGGAATCACTTCTGTGGGGAGTGAGATCGGATCAGTCAGGGAGGAATAAAAGGATTGCGTGGCTGAAGGGATGGCCCAGACGAAGTGGAATCCCATGAACTGGTAATGGACCTAGTCAGCACCGTTGTGAGGCTTCCTCCAACTGCGTTGAACAGTTATTGAGTAGGAGTAGAGGAGGAAGACGGTGGGAACAATTTGGGGTTGAGGTTTGGTAAGAAATGCAGTGATGGGACAAGGGAACCACCGACTGGAGAGCAAGGGACAACCTAGGGCTAACTGCTGGGCTGAGGCTGGAGAGGAAAGTCAGAGCAGGGGTCAAGGCGTGAGAAAGCACGACTTTTCCAGATTGGGTTTTCATTAATCTACCTAACAAACCCTGAGTTCCAGCCCAATGGAGCTACTTGCTGCTGTCTAAACTTAGAATTCCATCTCCCATAGGCACCCCTCTGTGCTGGCTCCTTGCCACGCCTATGTGTTTTCACTTCTCCCTCTCTGAATCCCTCACTTCCATCCCACTAGCAAATAAGTGTGGCAAAGGAGTTGGGAAGACCCAAGTTTAAAGCCAGCCCCAGACACTTACTTGGCTCTGTGATCCCGGGAAAGTCACTTAACCTCTGACTGCCTCAGTTTTCTCAACTACAAAACGGGGCTAACAATATCACCTCTCTCCCAGGGTGGTGAAGATCAAGTTAGACATTTGTAAAGTGCTTAGCATGGAGCCTGGCACACAGTAGGCACTTAATAAATGCTTGTTTCCTTCCTTCTGTCCTCCCAAGCTCCTCAGGGGCCATGTCCTGAACCTTTCCAGATCTCTCCACTTGCTAGTACTCTCTCGCCTCAAATTTCCTTGCATTTGCCTATTTATGGGGTATTTCCCATTAAAATGCAAGCCCATCAAGGGCAGGGATCAGGGTTTTGTTTTGTTTTTCATTTTCCCTTTGTCTCCTCAATACTTTATATGGCATGTGCTTCATAAAGCATGGGCTTGTTGAGCTGAGCTGAATTGAAAGAGGACAGTCAAGTGACTGGATGCCAGTAGGTCACAGCAACAAAGACCTGGAGCAGAAAGAATCGGGTGAAAGCTCAGAGGGAGAGAGGTTGCTGAGTGACGAAGCAGCAGAGGGAGGATCTGGAAGAGGCAATGAGGAATGTGGAACACGCTAGCAGCTCCTCCTCCTCCTCCTCCTCCTCCTGTGCCAGTGCGTCCTGGGCACAAGCACAGTGGTGTCCAGTACTGGAGAGAGTGGCTGGGAATTAATTATCTTCTGGAAAGATCTCCGTTTTCCATGATCACTAGAGAATGAAAAATCTTTTCTCCCCTGTGGGCCTTAGTTTCCTCATCCACATTATGGGGTTGCTTCTACAACTTGAACCACTGGATTGTTATGAAGAAAACGTACAACCTCAAAATGCTATAGAAACTTTACTTGACCTCTAGCCTGACTCGATTAAGCTCCTATTCAGGGCAGGGACTAGCTCACGTCTATCTGTGCCCTCACAACCCCAAGAAACAGCTGAGCATGGGCCCTTTCACGGAGGATCCTCAGTAACCATGTATCGATTGTAAGGGGAGCACGGATTCCCCTCTACCCCAGCCAAGGGCTTAAGGACAGGGACTGCCTCCTCCAAGGTGAGGCTCCTCTCTGTGCCCCCTTAGGATCTGAGGGCCTTGCATGACAGGGCACCAGGCTCCCCTACTAGAATCCTTCAAGTGTTCCTTTAACACAGCCCCCCAAACAAAACTACAAAACTTCCAACCTGCGCCCACCACTCAATGCCACTGGGAGTCATCCTCCCAGCTCTGGCCACTCTTGCCCTGGATTTTGCCAACACCAGCCTCTGACTTGGAACCACAGGTTATTCCAGGGACCTCTGGACCATGTGGGGAGGAGGGAATAGTACCATGGTAAGACCACTACTCCCCGTCATAGACTATGCTACTATGAACCAAGCAAAGGACTCCCCACACCCTGTCATGGCACAGGCCAGAAAAGAAGAGAGAGAGGATCACATTTATTAGAGCTTTATTGAGAGTAGCTGGAGGGTTGAAATACATCCAGTCCCCCCTCCCCTCGATGCTCTGTCCAGGGGGGCATTCCCCTCCCCCAAAGGAGGGCAGGGGGACAAGGGAGTAGGAAGGGGGCTGCTCTGGGCCAGGCTGCAGGGGTGAATGGGTGGGAGTGCTGAGGGAAGACGTGCACCCTCAGACCTTGGGCTCATTCCTCTTCCCTGAAGCCTGAAATCTGCCCCCACCTTAGGGAATAGGCAGGGTCAGAGGGCAGGACTCATGCAGCATGGTAAAAGGAGAAGGGGCCTGGCTCAGTCAGTCCCTTCCCCTCAAACTCTGGAGTTGGGTGAGGCCGTGCTGGGGACACAGACAGGGCCACCACAGTCTTGGCTATGGTTTGAACATAAATATATGCACAATTATATACAGGGGGAAGGGGCTCCCTGAGCCTCAGCCTCAGCCCTAGGGAAGGAGAAGGGAAAGAGCACAGACTGCCTTGCCCCTTGCCCATGAGGCAGCAGCACCCAGACTTGAGGAGAGAGAGAAAAGAGAAGGGAGGAGAGATCAGAGAGGGAAAAGAGAAGGGAGGA